CATTAAATACTAAATGATCTTTCACCACTTAAAGTCTGCTGTTTAGCAAGACTGGGACCAAACAAAGGAATTGGCGTTAATACGTGTCTCTTCACAACAAATATGACCTCAAATGAAATTAGAAACTGTTAAAAGTGAGTCTCCTGAAGCAGAAAAACAGAAAAGTAAGATTAATTTCCATTTGCCCAATCAGCGATGACGAATGGCAGGCTGACTGCGTGCTACGGGACTCAGTTTCTGCTTGTGTGCGTCGGGGAGATTTAAACGAATGAGTCCTCAAATCTCTGTGGAGAACTCTGTGCTGCATGAAGCACAAGCAGAATGTAACGTCGACATTGGGGCAAGATGAGGACACAAAAACAGCTCCCACAAATACAAAACACACACCGTAAAAAAATAACACACACGTGTAGCTGTCGCCACTCAGGAAAGCATAATGAAGTGTGATGTCATTTAGGGTAACACGGTATGTTGTTTTAACAGGTTAAAAAGTCTAAGGTTGTTCTTATTACGGGTTAATTATAACATTTAATTCAAAACCAGCAGTACAACTGGTACTCCAAGAACTGGTTCACTGGTTGTTTCCAATAACTGAAGACTGTGGCTTATAACTAATGAAAGCATATAAGTTGTCAAAGATCATTGCCCACAAAGCTTTCTGTATATATAGTAATGGAAAACTTAGCAGAAGGAAAAACGTAGGAGAAAAACCTGCATGTCATCTGCTGTCTGTTCATGGACTTTTTAGGGTATTTAATGCTCTCATCTGTTGAGAAGCTTTATAAAAATCTGCTTTAATTTCCCAGCTATCTTTGCTAACACGCATAATTCTGTCCCACAATGCAAGAGGAGTCCCAACCAAGTACTAAAACACACACACTGTATGCGTAAGTACAAGGAAATACTTTTTCATATGTCGGACTGAGACATATTTTAGTACCGTTTATGTAAAAGTACGATTTTCTGACAAGCTGAATTGTGGGGTTTTGCTGTAATTTACAATAAAAATTAAAAATTAAAATGTCACTCTGAATCCATATTATGCTAATGTTTCACTTTTTATTTGAATGACTGAAACAAATCTTGAATTACATTAATATTTTGGATTTAGTGGGTTTATTGGCTGAATGAAGGAAAATTGAATTTTTATATCTTGACCACATGGGGGCAGTGCTGTGCCAACATGACTTCACTAAATTTATTGTTTTATCAAACTGTCTTTCTATTACATTTATTATGATACATTTCAGGAAAAATGTCAAAAGGAAACTTTTTTTTTCATTTTTCCAAAGAGTAGTTTGCTCAAAAGTGTGTTTTTTTATTATTATTATTTTAAATACAGCAAATTCTTTCCTTTGTATTGTATTCTAAATTATATTTTTGTACCATTTAAAAATACATACAAATGGATCAAGAAAACTAGAGGGCATCAGTGATCCGGTTATTTGTGTTTATGTGAATAAAAGTGCTGATTAAAGGATTTTATTTTCATTGTGTTAAACAGATCTGATGCAATGAGACGAATGTCCAAATGAAAGACTCCATGTCCAGAGATTGGGCCTTTTGAGGAACAGGAAAAAGAATTTGTGGACTTTTGTCACTCTTGAATTTTTAAAATCACCAAACAAATGTTAATATCAGACAAAGATAACTCGAGACTGGTCCAGTGTGAATCCAGTGTCTTTTTAAATCAGGATTTAAGTCTGATTAATCACATTTCTTTGGCTCAGCCTCACCAGCCACACCCAGGCTAGATCAACGCGAGTCCTGCAGAAGCACTTGGATAAACTTGTCCTTACGAGATCTCAATAGTCAAGATCTCAATTAATTCAAGAAAAGATGGAGAACAAAGTCACTGATGTCTCAGAGTGGAGCAGGCGAGGCCATTTTGGGACTCTTTGGAGTATATATATATATATATATATATATATATATATATATATATATATATATATATATATGGTATTAGAAATGAAGGTTTATAAATGAATCATTGAGACGTTTTGACTTCCTGTTTGACTGTAAGCACACATTTGACAGTATGAAAAGTCAAGGCCGGCTGTAATCAAGCAAAAAATAGAACTCATTTCTACATGCACAGAGGATGCAAAATAGAGAAATCAAGAACACATGCTGGTGGCTAGTTCTCCACTGATCAGTTTACTGCTGCAGCCATGAATGACACATCCAAATTTAATTTGCAGGTTAGACAAGCCGTCGGTGCTAAAGCTGAGTATATACCATCTCAAAATGTACAACTACAATGCCAGGTTCAACAATTCATGAATCATCCTCTCACACTGTACGACCTGCTGCTCGAAAGCGACCCGGCTGCCCACGTGTGTTGGGCAGTTAGTCCCCAACACATTGGACTCCTGAATCGGGAACTGCACAAAAGAAGAAGAAAAGTACAAAGCACAGGAGACAAATGAAAGGAACGTTCAACTAAAACAAAGTAAAATGACACAGCAAACTAAAAAAAAAAAAAAAAGTGCAGGTCATGCTTTGATATAGTTTAAAATTGTGATCAATAAGCTCGGCATTTATTAAAGTCTTACCTGGTTAAAAAAAAAAAAAGAAAAGTGTACAACTATTATGTTAGAATATGTAAGGGGGAAAAAAACAAGGTACGTTATTTTGGTGTACAATGGATCAGTCACCAGCAGAGGGCGGTGCGTCATCACTATTTTACCCTGATAAGCTCTTCGCTTTTTTTTTTTTTTCGTCACACAGACATGAACCTGAGAGGAAAACAACAATGTTGGCAACTGCTAGGGGGGTTGGAATGAAAATCTGACTGGATTTTTAGCCAACAAACGTGACTAATCATTTAACTTGCTCACTCTTTGGCAGATCAATAGATTTTAAAGAGCTCAGTCCAGAGAGTGGTTTGCACAAGGGTAATACAGGATTAACAGAAGTGTTTACTGATATGCTAGTAAAACGTTGACAGGATTAGCCCGGAAAGTCCTTAAATCACGTTGTGTTTGATCAGACATGCACTTACATTGATTGTTTAAGCATAAATGAATAATAGTTTGTGGCTCTGTTACTTTTATTCCTTAAAAAAATGAGAAATTTGCAAAAAACTACGGAGGTCTGAAAGGGCCAGAATTTTATTTGAGAAAAAAAAAACTATCAATAATAATAAATCCGTCAATGTTTATTCAAAATTCCCTGAATTAAAAACATATTAACAGCATAGGCAAAGTATTCAAGATATACATGATGAATAGTCATAATTTATGAAAGAAAAGTATTAAATAACATTTGAAATTTTATTTAATACTGCTTTATTCGTACGACAACACATCACAAATGAATCTATTCGTGAGTCTTATGTGTCAGTGAGTGGGCAGGGTTGCTGATCTCAAACTATGGTACAACGGCTGCTTTTAGATGTACTGAGAAGTGGCTGTAGTAATTATTTGCAAGGTAAATATGAACAAAATAACTGTGATGAAATGGTTGGCAGGTGACCAGGAACATCAGTAACTTCTGAGGTCAGATATTTGTTTCTGGTAATGACATCCAAATACTGGTGCAGGTTGGAAAACTAGTGGGATCTGCTGACTTCATTAGCTAACAAATCATCCAAAGTACTAATAAACTAGCTTTCATCTGGAACCATATCTAATTTTTAAAAGAAGAGCAGCCATATAAAATTTTGATGTTTAAGTTCTTTGACGTTAAAATTGTTTTAATGCGATGCAGCTCTAATAAATGGTAAAATAATTTAATTGAATTCATGTCTTCAGGAAGCGCTTGAACTCCTTGATAGAGTTCACATGTAATTATTTTTAACCAAACAAAGTTAACTATTGGCACAAAAACAATTACGAACATATTTACTTATTTCAAACTTTTCGATTAAATACAAAAAAATATATATTTTATTCTATATTTATTTAACATTCGCATATAATTATTTCATTTAGAAATTTTTGGTACTTTATGCTTTCCATACAAAATCACCTTTCCACAATTTACCACTCAATAGTCTATCTTTTTAGACCAAGCTTGAACTTGAATTAAGAGTTTTGATATGAGACATGCCCGGATTTGAAATCAAGGATCAAGGAGTGCGTGTGTGTGTGTGTGTGTGTGTGTGTGTGTGTGTGTGTGTGTGTGTGTGTGTGTGTGTGTGTGTGTGTGTGTGTGTGTGTGTAATAGGGAGGGGGGCTGTTGCATTTATCAAGGGCCACTATAGGCCACAGCTTGCAGCCGTCTTGGGCCCTCCACCAAAATGTAGCACGACGTCACCGCTTCCGCCCTGCTCCCCTCTCCACCCCCAGCCTTCCCTCTCCCTCTCTCTCTCTCTCCTCCCCCCCCCCCCCCCCCGGCGTCGTTGGAGCAGCTCAGCCGCCTGCAATCCAACATGGAGTAGTGAGAGATGGGGCTCTAGCGGGGCCACCCCTCGGCAACAGCAGCGAAGACGCGCTTCTTCTTTTTTTTTTACGCACAACTGGAAGCGGAGTCGTCGGTGAAAACATGCGCCTTAGGACTTAAAAAACGGAGCGTGTGGGAGAGGGAGTGAGCGAGCGAGTTTGCCTGCGTGCGTGCGTGCGTGCGTGTGTGTGTGTGTGTTTGGGGAAGGTGGGGGGGTTAGAGAGAATCAAGAGCTGGATTCGGCAACCGAAATTGCCAGTGCAGCCTGCGTTTATCCACTGATTGGGTATTAAAGTTCCAGACGGAGAAGAGGAGGTCCTTCATTTTCTTCTTCTTTTCGCGATCCAGAAGAAAACAGCGTGGCTTCGGTGGAAAGGAAAGAAGGAGAGGGAGAATTTCAGGGGGGGAAAGGGGGACTGTCGAGGGCAAAGCCCGAGAGCCGACACTCGCACAAAGGCGCAGGGGGGATTTATGCGGAATCGGACGCAGGATCGGAGGCGAAAGAATGACGAGTGAAAAGTATGCAACCGCCGTGGTCCATTACCTGAGGTGAAACGAAAAAATGATAGAGGAAACACACCCAAACGAGTAAGTAGTGCAGCTCGAAGATTTCCCTTTTGCCCGTGCTTATAAGTTGCTTGGAGCAACTTGGTGGAATGTGCAAAAACTCTCCTTGCAAAAGCCGCACTTCCCTTTTAACCGCAACCGTCTGTGTCTTTACGGTGCCCGTAATGCATCGGCTGTGTGCGCGTTCATTTTTGTTGTTGCTGTTGTATTTTTTATTTTATTGTATTTTTTTTACGGCGCTCCCCCGTGTTATTACGTTATAGAAAACAGCCTAAAGAAGGCGAGAGAGAGAGAGAGAGAGAGAGAGAGAGAGAGAGAGAGAAGAGTGGGAGGCGGAGGAGGGGAATAAGCGTGGGTGGATCGGAAACATTTTCTGAAAGGATCTCAAGCGAGAGAGCAGCGAGTGAGGCCCTGTTGCAACGTAACTTAGGAACTCAAACACGCCTATAACGAGCGGCGCCTTTAAATATATATAGAAATACAGACACGGCGGCGCACGCGCGCGCGCGCTGAGGGGCGCGCACGGTTTGTTAAGGTGTGACGGCCGCGTTTCTCTTTATGCCCCCTCTGTCTCTCTTTCTCTCTCTCTCTCCGCCGTTCAGTCACATCTGTGTGTTTGCTTTCAACCGAAGGGGGAAGTCTCACCGGATAAGAGATATCCGACATGCCCCATCCGCCATCTCTTTCTCAATCGCCCTCATTTGCATAGCCTACCGCGCTCCATTCATAAAAAAAGAAAAAGAGAAAAAAAAGTAGTAGGCTATGTGGGATTGTAAACGACGGCTGGCTTTGAGAGTCGAAAGAGAGAGATTCGGGTGGATTCGAGTCGTCGCGGCTCGGTTCTGTCCGCCACGCGGGCTCGTTCGCCTCCTGCGAAATGTAGCTCCCGCGTGGAGGCCCACAGACCTGTTTACGACGGCACGAGCCGAATGCTTTCCCCCCGAACGAGCTGCTTTCATGTTAGGCGACACATGAACTACACTAGGCGAGTTTTTACATTTATTTTTCTGTGCTCGGTGGTAATGCCTGCCTGCCTGCTTGCGCTGATTTGTTGGCGGGGGTTGGGAGGGCGAAGGGCACGGGATGGGGGGGATGTTTGCGCTGCGGTAGCGTGACGGCGGCTCATTCATAAAAGCCCTCTAACCTTCAGCGAGTCCCCATTCATGCCTGCTGGCCGTGCCGTAGTCAGCACGGGCCCCGCGTCTGGGTGTCTGGTCCCTCGGCCTCCGAACCCACAGGGAGACCCGGGGACGGAGCCTGGCAGCGGCCGAACCTGAGGGCGTATTGGATTGTTGAAAGTACAGTTAAAATACAACATATATGTCAAGTGTATACTAGTACTCAAAATTGACTGAACTTGGAAGGAGAAAATGACCGACATGTAGTAGTTGCTGTCACACAGGAACGTGTTTTATGGAATAATGATCAGGTTGAATTATTGCAGCAACAAGATGACCTCTGGTGAAAATAGAATTGTACTTGCTATTGCTAATGTCACAAATTGATCAGGGTTTCACTATCACACAGTGTATACAATGTGCATATGTTGAAGAAAGTCAATGGTAGCTAATAATTTAAGCACCATACATCCAGGCTCCCCGTGGCCCTTGTAGTTTAATACAACCCAAAATGTTTTAGAATGCTAAGAGCTAGGTAGATCTCTGTGGAAAACAGCAGGTGTTAGCCAGAATCAATTCATTCAGTAAAGCCATGTTGTCGAGATGGATAGACTAGTTATTTTTGAGGTCTACTTACAAAGTGGACGTGCTTTTTAAAAAATTATTTATCCACTGCAAGCGATATCTGTATCGTGACATTTGCATATTGTGTGTGTTTTTGGGGAGTTGTGTTATGTTGCGTTTATTTTTTATTAAAAATCCAACAGGAGACAGCCTGGGACGGCCAAGATCCTTCCAGTTGATATACAACTAAACCTTGAATTGCGAGTTAGCTTACACACGCTGTCTGTGTTTTTTATGAATGGATGTATTTCCAAAGAGCCAAATTCATATTTCTTTGCTCGTGAAAGAATAGTGTAGTAGCCTTTTCTCAGTCTGCTGACCAGCAGTGTGCTGCAACAGGTGGTAGGTGAACACTGTGAAACTTTGTGCTCTGCAGCAAGAAAAAAAAAAGTAAATTTTTTTTGTTCTGGCACTGTACCTGGAGTCTCATTAAAAAGGACTTTAACCTTCGAATCGAAAATATGATAGAAGATGTATATAGTTTTGGAACTTGGTGCACCTTGATACTAGTCAGTAGGCATATATACTGGAAAGGATGAAGTTCTTACACAATAGGAGTAAGTCAGATAAATCACCTTGCCTCCTCAATGTATTTACTTCTATTTATTTAGTAAAAGTTATGAGTTTTTATCCAGTTGAATCTAGCTTGGCAACATTAAATGGTGAGGACAAACATGCTAGCAAGCTAAGCTTCTTAGGGTAAGGGTTCATAGGGAACCTTAACCATGGTTGTCAGGAAAAATAGGTTTTAATGCTACCTTAGTACATATGTAGAAAATCTGTTATGGTTTTGATAACGTTCATTTTCCTGAACGCTAATGCTAAAGAAAAAGATGCTAGTGTGCTAAGCTTCTTTAACCTTATTGTAGGTGTTCTTAATTATTTTTATTCATGGATGATGAGAAAAAACTTAGTGCCACCACAATAGGAGACATTTTGAAGGCTTTTTTTTAATGGTTTCAGTCGAATTTTATGCTACAGCTAGTTTAATAACAGTGAGAATGCTAAATTGCGAGTAAGTTAGAAACCAAACTTCTTAATTCTGAAGTATTCGTCTTAGCTGTGGCTGTCAAGGAAAATGTTTACATCCGACCACCATCAAAATTATTTGAAACTGTATTCATATATTAACATTTAATGCCTTAATCAAAAATCAGTTCTTGTTTGTGCTTCTTTTTCACACTGAGGACAATCCACATCAGCGAAAAATAAGTCTAAATTTATAGCTTAAAACCATTTTTGTTAAAACAAAACTGAAAAGTTGGTTGGAATTCAATAAATTTAACCATTTTTATTCAGAGGGGCTGATTATATACGTTTCATCAGCTGATGTTCGCAAATTGTTGCATCAGTTTTAGTGATTCGGTTCTACCCGTCTCATTGGGTTGCACAGTCCCACGTCTGATTCTGTCCCCATACATTCAGTGAGACAGAGGCCATACATTTGTTGCAATATAAAACAACTACAAAAAATTCTCTCCCTGAAGCTGTTGGACCATTTCCTGTTGCAGATGATACATTTACGGCCCTGTTGTAAGTCGTGTTTCTGATAAAGTTTGCTTTTGTCACTGATGTGCAAAACCAAACCACACCCTGGAAACTTTCCAAGAACCCTGCTGGGTGACTTTCTATGTGCTGCTTTTGCACTTGTATCCTCATGTCTCTCGTAATTGTTGAAAAGCATTTTAAGACATTTCTGTCGGAATCATTTAGCTACAGTTAACAAATGTTGTTCACTGCATTTAAGCTTCTGGAAATGGCCACCCATAACAGATCCGTACAGAAAAAGGTTTGAATAGTTGACACAATTCTTCTGGATTTAAATGTTTTTGGTCACCAGCATTGGAACCAAGAGTTTTATCGTATCGTTTATCATTTCTTGTGATACGTTTCTTATAAAAAGAATTCCAATTTATGGTTGCTGTGATAAATTTCAATTAATGATGTTTAAACGCTGTCCGAATTATCGGGATTGGTAGTTTTACTATTTTCTCCACTGTTTGTTCAATGAAAGTACCAATAAATATTGTTTAATTTGAAAATTTAGTTAAATGCAGTTACTGTGTGGAGTTTAGTGACAGAAATCACATTTCTTTATGTGAGCCGTGTTCTAAAGGAGCGCATTACAAACTAATATGTTTATCAAGAACTTTATTGGTTTTTGTGGGGCCTTGTTTGCCGTTTCATATTATCACAGCCTGACACTTGTCACTTTCATTATTACAATATTCCCAGAAAATATTCTAATAAAACAATATTTAAGTCCATATCACCCACTCCTACAGTCACGGGGGCTTTTTGTACCAGATTTGAGAGTTGAGGGGAGTTTTCTTTTGCCAAATGGATGATCAGTGTGAGGATTTACAGCAGAGTTGGTGACTCAATGCAATAAACTGTCCGGTGTCGCCGCAAGGTCATCAAGGAGGAGGGATTGCTGCAAAGTTTGTGACTCGAGGTAGTCATCTTTGCTTCCTTTGACTGAAAAGGTTTTTACCAACTGGCATGATAAACTAAACTTGTTTTAAAACCAGAATCAGATTAGAATATATATAATTGACTTAACAAGCTAGTTTGATTGGCGTGACCCGGTTCTGATTAATGCAGAAGCTTTAAAAGCCGCACTACGGGGTAACTTTTGACCAAGTGTTTGGGTAAATGTCGTCAAGGCATCCCATGCCCGGGTTTGGGTTCACCTATAATTTGAAGAACTGGTGAGGACCAGCTGATGCTTTTTATTTGAAGGTCATACTGACTATTTAACATGAATGTGAAACCACAACTCTGATGACAAATACAAACATGCATATATAGTTTTGTTGTTGTGTTTGTTTTTTAACTTGAAAATATATACAGTAACATTAGTGTACTCTTAACATTAGTGTACTCTCGTCTTGTGAAAGTTTTTGCGTCTCCCAGTTGCGTGTCATCTGTCGGGCTTATTCCTGAATTGTAAAAGAGAGTCTGAGCTAATTTTATTGGAAGGCAGCAATTTAATAGGAAAAAAAAGAGATTACAACGTAATTTCAGTATCTATTAAGATTATTAATGTGCTTTTTACTGTTGGTTGTAGCCTTGCTATCTTTACCTTTTTGGCTGGTCGGAAGCGGTCGTCGTAAAAATGATCTGCTTTGTGTTATGCGGTCTCTTTATCTGAAGTAAAGCCAGTTATGGGATTGATGCCAGGTCAGGACATAAAGACACACCCGTTTATTCTCGCGGTGTCACATGTTTCATTTATGATGTCAGTATTCGGTAACAGTTCTCAGTCTCTCTTTTGCGACATCAGCGGATCATTATCTGCCTTTTGTTGTGTTGCCGTGTAGTTGTTGACGCGTTTGTTTATCGCCTGCCTGGGCTGTAATGTCGACAGATTTAACGTGTTATCTTCGTCGTATCCCAGGTTTGGAAGTTCCTCTTCTCTCCTCAGTTATTACTCATGATAAGGGTGCATTGCCACCCCCCCCCCCCCCCCTCTCTCTCTCTCTTACCCCCACTACACAGAGAGTAACACAATGAGCAGAGGATGTATTGATCTGATGTGAGCTACTGCCAAGTCAGCATGTGCACAGTCAGTATTGGACAGGAGATGCTCGGTGACATTCAGCTAAGGTCGACAAAGAGTTGAAACCGAATCCGTCCCTGAAATAAAAAGCAGTCACAAAGTGGTGAACGCAGCAGCGAGGAGTCAGACGACCTGGATGTTCCCTCTGCAGGACTGTCCTGTTCCCCGTTTTTCCGACTTAGCTGAATCTGATATTAACGTTTCAACAAACCTGAGAGCAGCGAGAAAGCGCCTCACCAAAACCGGACATAGATGGATGATTAAATGATTCATCCCTTTTGGAAACTGATATGATGCTGCGAGCCATTGTTGAAAGAAAGCCATAACAAAAATCCTATTTGTAGTTTGCAAGAAGACTTGCAGGGTTTATAGCAGACAACAATGCTCTGGTCAGATGAGCCCAAAGTCCAAGTTTTTGATCCAGATTTTATCTTTCAATGCTTCTTAATGCTGCAGTAATGTAATGTTTATTTTAAAATATATGTATATTTATTTAAATTATCATTATGTCATGACAGTATAAATCATATAAACTATGAAAAGAAATTGAGCTGCTTTGCTTTCTCCCTGTGAAAACTGTAGAAATACAACTCTCAGACAGAAACAACCCATCAGAGCCGGGAGGAGGGTTTAGAGATACCAATCATTCTTGTGTATGTGCCGCTCACATCCTCCTCCTTT